CTGTATGTAATTAAATTTTTTAAGTATGTATTCAGTGGGGATGTGCTAGACTCTTTCCTAAACTTTTCTAAGGTGCTTGTTGGCCTTTTAACTAATAAAATTAGCAGAAGCAGAGAACAGTAATAAATCATATACATACCAATACCTTAAAAACATATTTTAACAAAACATTTATATTCAAAACACCAATCATTTCATGTAGGATCAGGGCCATTTTATATGCATGGAATTTGGAGTGTGTTTTCCTTTGTCCCTTTTCCATAAATTGTACATATAAGGTACCATCTATGATTTTTGATATTGCTTTATTTAATATGGCAAAAGAATGTAAATGTTTGGGAAACAATATTGACTATAGAATTCTTTCAGTTTTTAAAAATGATTTGTTTATTTTTGTTTGTATAAGTGTTCTGATTGCCTTTATGTATACTGGTATGTATATAGTGCCTTGCAGAGACCAGAAGAGGGCAACAGAGCCACCATGTGGGTGCTCAAATTCGAACCCAGGTCCTCTGGAAGAACTGCAAGTGCTCTTAACTGCTGAGCCATCCCTCTAGCCCCTCTTTCAGTTTTTGATGTATTTTCTTCTCTATTTTTTTATATTTTATTTATTTATTTTTATTTCATGTGTATGAGTGTATTGCCTACATGTGTGTAAGCAGACCCATGCCATGCAATGCCCACAGAGGTCAGAAGAAGGCGTTGGATTCCCCTGGAACTGGAGTTATGGATGGTTGTTAGCCACCATGTGGATGCTGGGAATTGAATCTGGGTCCTCTATAAAAGCAGTCGTTCTTAACCACTGAACCATCACTCCAGCCCTCTTCTCTAATATTTTACTGCTGTTATGTCCAAAACAAATTTGACAGCACATATTTGGGGAATTCCCTTTGTATAGTCTTTGCAAGAAGATCAATTTTTCTTTCATAGAAATGGATCTTGTCTTGACTGTTCATAATAATTTCAGTATGTATATAATTTAATTAAGTTGTCCAGTTATAATAACAAGTTGAACTTTCCAAAACATGGTCAAGAAAATAGTTACTTATAAGCACTGGACTCAATTGTTGGATGTCAACATGCACACTCATCAGAGTAGCCTACCAGCTGTGAGGTTTCCTCATAACATGGTATGTGCCAGTGTTTAAAATAGGGGATGGAAAGCATAGTCTGCGTTGTTAAGTGGAATTTGGTCAAGAGACTTTCTATTGGTCTTGCCTACTTAAAAATATCCAGACATGTACAGAGAGAACACTTAAAGTTCTCCCTATCATATTCCTTCTTTAAGGATAATAAATGGTGTTAGTAATTCACTGTGTATCATTCCAGACTCATTTATGTGCATATATCTGTAGATTATCTACACAGTCTATATATTATCTACACATGATTTCACATTATGATGTACCAGGTACCAGATGAAGACATTGATCTGAATTATCTTGTTTTGCCTTCATAATAAGACTGAGATAATAAAACTGCTATTTCCATATTATAGCTGAGTAAAATGATGGTCAAAAAAGTTCAGTAGTCATTTTTTTCCTAAGGTCACCCCAGTGGTTATTTTCCTATGAGAGGGCTATCATACTGATGTGTACCAATCAAGTTAAATGTTTACACAAATTCATCTATTTATTCAGTAAACATTTATTGAATGTCCACTGTGCCAGGCACAGTGCTTAATGGCAGATGAATATGGACACATGGATCTTGTCTTCGGAGACCTGGAACAAATAGATCAATGTGTGTACTACATGATATGTTCCCATCCATCCAGTTAAAAAGTGAATAGAGAAAGATTGCAATCTGGTCTATCTTAACAGTTGATTATGACAGTTCTAACTACAAAGGAAGTTGAATAAATCGGATTTTAGAGCTAACTACTTGGAGTATCATTGTTTCTGTGAGATGATGAGTTTGGAGCCTCCAGGAATCAGTGCCAATACTATTCAAGTTCTAAAACATGTGTTTAATACAATAAACACTGGGCTAAGGATATAGCTCAGTTACCTAACATGTGCAAGGTGCTAAGTTTGGTCTTCAGTACATCAAAATGAAAAGTTCTTCTTAAAAGGCAGATAGTGCTCTACTGTTACCGGAGGAAGAGGAGGCCAAAGCAGGAATCAAGATTGGAGTTTGAATTCCTGGAGTAGGTGGACGACTGGCTGATGGCACAGACTGGAGATGTACAAAGGAGCTTGATTAGAATGTTTGAAATGTACCAACTTAACCAAGAGCAGGCAATTGCACAGAGATTCAGAAGTCCAGAAAGGAGAAAACAAGAAAAGTGTATTATAAACAAATACCATGAGAAAAATAATCAGAACATAAGCTGCGAAGAATGGAATTATAATGTTAGAAAAAAATTAAACAGTGCATGTTCAGACAGAACCAAGATCGTACCTATTATGTAACACATTCCACAAAGCTGGCCAATTTCAACGTACACTAGGAAGGGAAATGCCCGCCCTGAGATGGCGGTGGAAAGCTTGAGCCACATGAGTGCCTGGAATCCAACTGCATAGATGCCAAAGGCTTTGAGGACCATTTGGCAACATTTAAAGGGATGGAAGAATCTGAGGATTGTTGTAATAAGTATGGTATGGAATCTTATAGAAGCAAGTGAAAAGAAAACCTTTATGTGAAACCTTCCAAGGATGGTTATATATTCTTTGTGAGTACAGAAGCATTTATGTACACAGATATATAGACTGCTGCAGTGCTGATAGGCAATAAGTGCCTGATAGTCAGTCAGAATAAAAAGTGGGGAGGGAGCAAAAAGGGAGGGAGAGCGCGACAGAGAGAGCGAGACAGAGAGAGACAGAGTGAGACAGCGAGAGCGAGAGCGAGAGAGAGAGCGAGAGAGCGAGAGAGAGCGAGAGAGAGCGAGAGAGAGAGCGAGAGAGAGCGAGACAGAGAGACAGAGTGAGACAGCAAGAGCGAGAGCGAGAGCGAGAGCGAGAGCGAGAGAGAGAGAGAGAGAGAGAGAGAGAGAGAGAGAATATCCAGAGCTTTTAAAATTGTTAGCAAAGAAACTGGAGTCTCTGATGGAATTTAGTCCTCGTGACTGAAATGTTTCTTTGGTGTTGGAAAAAGTATTGCTGTCATCCCTCTCTCTTTAGATTTTTTTTTTCATAATAAAAATCCCGTGGCAGCTCCTTGTCTAGAGGATTTTAAAAATAGGAGAGATTTCATCTGTCTGGAATGGTCTGTGTCAGCACTTGCCCTAGGCAAGGTTGCCACATAGGCACAAAACGCCCCCACTCCCATCCGCTTAGCCAGCACTCTCCCCTACAACCCCTCATGCCCTTTGCAACCCCACTTCCACCTCCGAGGCCAACTCCGACTGCCTCTTCTTGCACTGCAGCTTCAACACGATCTCCCACATCAAATCAATCTCATCTTCCCTCAGAGCAGCAGCCCTCTCTCCAGGTGCGAGGGGTGCAATCTCGTTCACTCTCTGTGGTTTATTTGAGTTTAAAAATAGGACCCTGGTTAACCCAAAAGAATCTTAAGTTGCTGGGGCTCTGGACAGTGTAACCAAGTGGAGGGAAAGGCAGGGGGGAAGAGGGGCGTATTTTTGGTCAGGGGGAAGTGGTGGGGAGGTGGGCCGCCTTCCTGGAAGCTATTAAATCCCAGATGTGGGCTCTGCTCCGTGTGCCACTGCCTTAGGGTGACCTCTGACCTCTCGAGGTTGCTGTTAATTCTATGGCTCAGTGACTTCCAACTACATCTGCCTGCACCCGCACCTGGCTTCTTTCGAAGCACTGTGGGCACCCTGTTACTCGGATTTAACTAGGGGTTTTCAGCAGCGTGTCTTTGTGCCTATCAACCAGGGTCCAATTTTCCCATCACGGTCCTCCTGCAACAGCAAGTCTTGGGTTCAGGGATGGTGGCCGGTGATCAGCCCCAGCCACACTGAGTGATTTTTACCGAGCCCTTTTCAAAGCGCTTGGTCCCAGAAAAGCCTAAGAAAGGCAATGCTTTGTGCTCACGTGTGTGGGGGCTTTATGAAGAAAAATATGTGTGGCTTATGTGAACGGAGTATGCTGTATGCACATTTTCGTGGGCAAAGCTGCAAAATGAAATTGACTCCAGGGGCTCCTGTGATGAATTTGGTCAATTTCCTGCTAGAACAACAAACATTTTAAGAGCCCCCACTGTACCAAGCTCTGGGTTAGACTGGGGGAGTAACGAGGAAAAGAAAAGCGGGTCTTCGTTATAGAAGAGTTCAGCATAGGGGGAAGGTAGACTTGGCATGTAAGGCCTGTCCTGTTTGAGGTAAGCCAGGGTATTTGGGAACTCTGGGTCTGCCCTTGGTTTAACCTGCTGTGGATATCTGGAAAGATCTCCTGGGGCGATGACATTTGAGCTGAGTAAGAGCAGAGAAAGGTGGGAAGGGCGGGCTGTGGAGAAGGAATGACATGAGTAGAGGCACAGAGGCATGAGGAGACTTGACATGTGGGGGAACTGAGAACCGCTGCGATTATTAGAGGGAAAGTGTCAGGGGGTGTGTGTGAGAAATGCTCAGGGAGGGGCACGCAGGCGAAATGAGGAAGCCATGGGCCTCCCTGGCTAGGAAGTGAGGCTTTAGCCCCAAGGAGAGTCCCTGAAGGATTTGAAGCAGGGCTGTAGTAGGGTCAGATTTACATCTTGATTAAAGTACCTGTCAATTTGGGGGAAATCATTCAAACTGCCTGTGAGATGAATTGATGAAGGCTTTCTATGCAAAGGGTGAATTCGCAGATCTAGTCATAGTTAAGTGTGAGGCTCTTTTCCAAGGGAATCTTATTATTCTGAATAGTTTTTAGGGATGTGGTTAAACCATGTACAGGTAGGTTTGTGTCTGTATCTGTACCACTCTCAACATTTTTGTGAGAGTGCGGATACTCTGAAGAGGGCTTTGGAAATGGATTCAAAGAAAGTCCTTGCTTCTATCCTTTATTCCACATAACAGATTAGGAATCTAAACTGTGCTGCGATCTCTTTGTTTTGTTCAGCAAAAGTCATCGGGAAAGGCCCTCTTTAACCTGAGTTGCAGCCATCTCAATCTTGCTGAAAAGGAGTACTTTGGATTAGAATTCTGCAGCCATTCTGGAAATAATGTAAGTGGGTTTTATCATCGATTCTTTGTGTGTAGAATTGCTTCCAAACGCAGTTTCACCTAGGTATGTAGGGCCCCCACCCCTGACTGAAAAATGCAAAAGGTTTATATCCTTGCAAAATTATTGAATTTCAAAACTAATATACCCACCCCCTCCTTGTTTATTACAAGTCAACTTGATTTGCCAAACACAAATTCTTCTGCCTCCAACTCATGTTCTGTCTCTCTGAACAGCTGTCAATGTTTACCTATTTTGAATTTCCAGAGGTTGCACCTCAATCTCCAGGAAGAAGACTCCTGACTTCACCTGAGAATATTTAGGAGAGTTCTTTTCCTGTTTCTCAGGTCCTGACTTTCACAAGGTTTTCCCCCCTGCTGTGTCCTGCCTTGCCGTATCTATAATCTGGCACCTTCTCAGAAAGGCTCATTAGGTCTATTAAGCTGGCATTTGGTGTGTGTGTATGTGTGTGTGTGTGTGTGTGTGTGTGTGTGTGTTGGGGGGTGGCATTCAAATGTGGAGCCAAATGCTTTCACTAGTCTTTGTAGCTGTTAATGAGCTTTGTCTGTGACACCTCTGTCATCCTACTGAGGCAGGAGAGCAGTGATTGAAATGTCAACAACAAAGAGTTTATACATCAGCAATGTTCACTGTCATTGGAAAATTATGAGGGGGAGACTGAATGAGGTGAAGGTATATCATCTCTTTGACTCTGCTGTTTATTTCCAACTATCTTTAGAAATCTAAATAGTCCTGGTATTTGTTCATTTGATGTTGACCTTTATCTCGTACCAAAAAGCAGGGGGGAGGGGTGGACTGTGGTTGCTGCTGTGTTCTACCAATTTTTTTCATTAATGTATTAAAGGTTTGGTTGGAACTTCTGAAGCCCATAACAAAGCAAGTAAAAAGTAAGTATAAAATATCATTCAAAGAATACAGTGCTCAGTTCACACTTGAAAAATATTTCTACAACCCCACACAATTCCTCACGTTACAATGAATGGGAAAAAAAGGGCTTGGATATATTATTTCAATCCTTCATCAGTCTAGTAAATTTAGCGATTGAGAAAATTGTCTTAATTTTGCCTGAAATGAAGAAGTTCATTCTGCTATATCCTGGAGTACATCTGAAGAATGCTGGTAATTATGCCACTTGGTGGATTGCACGTAGGAGTAGACATCACTCTCTGGGATTGTGAATCTTCAAGCATCCTTAACATCAGTTTGTGATAGCTTTCACCTTCTAGACGTCTGAAGACTTTCCTTTCATGCTATCACAAGTCTTGCCTATTTGTTTCAGTCCATGTTCGAGTGCCCCCTATACTTCACACTCTAGCATGGTTTATCCCACATGTCAGTGTTCGTCAAAATGCATCTGGGATTTTTGTTAGAAGGGGGATCTCTGGACCTCATTCCTGGGCTAGAGGACCAGTGAATGCATGTTTAACCAGTTGCAAAGGCATTTCTCTAGCAAGTGGATCTCAATCAACCATTTGGGAAACCTTGCTTCAGTGTCTCTGTCCCCTCTGCCCTTCACATGTTATTATTTCTCATATTTCTGCTTCTCATTGGGTGGTGATTATGTCACATGATTCCATGACCTTCAGAACTGATTTTCTCCAATCTAGGATTTACATTAGACTTACAGAGATCTATTGAGCTCTACAACCCTTACCACATCTCCCTCCTGCTTAAGATGCTTCCATGGCTCCCTAATTACATTTAAAGTTCAATCTTACTAATATAATATACTAAGCTCTGGACTCTATCATTTAAGCTTTGTCCCTGTCATGAACCATTTCAGCTCCTACTTCTGCTAAGCTACTTATCTGTCAACTCCTCTAGGAAGACATCCTTGACATTTTCTAAACTCCTTGCTCCTTCTTGTGCTTCCCAGTACTCAGTGCTTATAGACTGTGTTGTCCTGTAACTGACCTGTTTAGATAGTTGTCTCATCTATGAGACTGGGGGCTCTTTGTCTTTTCACTACCATTTTCTGGTTAGGACAATACTAGGCAGATGATAAGGACCCAAAAAACATGTACTGAATTATTCAATGCTACTATTAGTTCAATGTAATGCTACTACGTGTGTGTGGTGACTTTAATATATATGTGCACACACACATATGTGTGTGTCAGTGTTTTGCCTGCCAGTATGCAAGTACCCTCAGAGACCAGAAGAGGGTGTCAAATCTCCTAGAACTGGAGTTATGGGTGGCTGTTAGCTACTATATGGATACTGGGATCTGAACCCACGTTCTCTGCAAGAGTAGCCAGTATTCTTAACCACTGAGCCATCTCTCCAGCCCCCATGTGTGATGACTTTTGGTCTAAAAAATTTAGTCTTTTATTTTGGTGCTAGGGATGGAACCCAAGACCCTAGCAAAACTCCCTATCACTGAGCTACACCCCCAGCCTCGGGTTTCTTGTTTTCAAACACAAGTAGATGTGAAAATCTGTAAATGTGGTTTTTCAGGTGTATAATTTAAGGTGGATAGAGACATTGGTCCATAGAGACATTGGTCCACATTGTTTATAGTTTCAATTATGAAATTCTTAATATATCTAGTGATATGCTCCAGCTGAATCTGCCCTTCTGTCAGGCAGAAATGCAGAGTCCCAAATGGCAATAATTTTTCTGAATGACACACTCCTTAGTAAAGGACACAGCAGGCCCCAAATTGGCACATCTTTACAAAAGAAACTCAAAGGGAGAAAGGCTGTAGGGGGTGGATTTTCTCAATTGCTATACACGTAGAGTCACAGTTCAGAAGTAATAATACTATACATGTGAACATTTGAAATATAAAATAAAAGTCTATGGGGAGAAACCATGGAGAGGGGAGGGAAATGGACTAGTGTGTGTTTGCATGTGTGTGTGTGAGTGTGTGTGTGTGTGTGTGTGTGTGTGTGTGTGTGCAGATCTTAACTGTTGTGATGAACATTTAAATAAAACTTATGGAGATATTGTGTTTTAAGATCCTAAGGAAGTTGTTTTCAAATTTATGGTGAAATTTTTCCCAGTGGACCCTGGACATCTTCGGGAAGAGCTTACAAGGTAAAGTGATAACTGTGTTTGTTGCATGACATTACTTGAAAATCCTCATTCTCCATCTATTGAGGAAGAGGCTCTTGTTGTCTTTTGCACTGCTTGGCTTTAAGTCACTCACTTTTTGGGACAAGGTGAAGGACTAGAAAGAAGGAGAGCTGGGCTTGTTCGCAAACTGTTAATCTTCTCAAATGTTGGAACTACAAGGAGAGGGGTGGGGTTTTAAAATTGGTGGCACACCTTGGTGGCACTTTGAGGGTTACGCCATTAACTGCCACAACAATATTCACATTCTTTTTCATATTATTTGTATTTCAATTGGCATAATTTTGATGTCAGCCAACTCCCATGTCCAATGAAAATGAACATGTATATGGTTGTATTCTGTAGGTAGAAAGTGATTCATATATTCTATAATGATATATGCTTATGAATGATGCCCTTCTTAATTATAGTGGAGACTTACTTTTGCAAAGCTATGTTGTCACTGTAACACTTGGTGAAACCTTGCTCTGCTTTTAGATTTATACTGATATACATAGAAAGGACCTAGGCTCTAGGTGCTATTCTTTCCCAGCCCTTTTGGCTAACAGATTATGAGGCAACATGTCCTAGAAGCTGAAGTGGATGAGTCAAGATCGCATGTTCTTACAGTTATTCTCCCTGACCTACCTGCTTCTACATGGTTCATCCAATTAACTCTCACTTTTTTGGTACAGAAGAACTTCTGTGCAGTGTCTTTGCAGAAGTTTTTTTTCTCTCTCCTCTCTCTCTCTCTTTCTCTCTCTCTCTCAACTCTTTCTGCATTTGTAAGTTGTCAGCCACTTTTCCATATAACTTGATATCTTGGTATCTCTACCAGTTTGCATTCACTAACCCTTTGCAGATGAATTTTAAATTGTGATCAATTTTGATGGAGATAAACTTTCTCAAAAATATGAGAAAATCAATTTGATAAGAAATGGTTCATCATCTATTCAGAGTAAGGATTTGTAGCAGGCAGTTTCATTCTTAGCAGCACATAACAATCAAAAGACATAAAATTCCCTCTGTCTTTTATATGAAGAAAATGACATTAATTTTTCCTTTTGCAAATTAATGAACTAATGTATACATCTGTATTTGTAAACAGGCAATGCCAAAGATTAGGTGCCTTTAACTTTTCTCCATTGATCCATTTAAGATTACTTAACTGAGCCAGGTATGATGGTTCATACCTATAATACCAGTACTCCATATGCTGAGGCGGGAGGATTGCTGTGTCTTCGAGGCCAGTCTGGTCTGTATAGGGAGCTCCAGGACAGCCTGGGCTACAGAATCAGAACCTGCCTCAAAACAAACTAACAAACAAAAACCCAAGCTACAACAAACAGAAAGAAGAATACTTTCCTGCTGTAGAGGCTTCAAAGCATGCCTTGTTTAGGGCCCAATGCATGGATTTTTGAGAGTAGTGTACAACTATAACTGTCTAGCTGAATCAATTCTAATGCATTAGGGGCACTCAAAATTTGAAGACTCGTGATGGTTAAAGCTTTTGTAAACTGAATACTTGACAGGTTTTCAATCTAGATTTTCATAGATTGCATGCAATTAGTTATCCTTTACCACATTGCCTTCAAGATGTTAGTTTATAATAAATCCACATAAAACTTTATCTAGAAAATTATATTTTTATATAGGTAAATGCAGTAGATAATGCATGTTTTGGTGTATAAAATAAAATATAGGAATCTTTTTTATTGTCAAAGAAAGCAGTCAGCAGTAGTCTCTCATACAATTAATTTCTTTTTCTAAACTGGGCTCTGGGGGCTAGGGAGAAGGTTCAGTAAGTAAAGCATTGGCTGTACAAGTGTGAGTACCTGAGTTCGAATCCCTGAACTCATGTAAAGCTGAGCACAGAGCACATCTATGCTTCTATGGCAAGATGGGAGGTAAACATGGAGGATTGCAGACCAGCAATCTTTGTGTATTCAGTGACAAACACCAAGAAGAGACCCTGTCTCAAAACAAGGTGGAAGGCAAGAACTAACACCTGGGATTTTCCTCTGACCTCCTCATACACACACGTGCGCGTTCATGTGCATGCATGCCCGCGCGCGCGCGCACACACACACACACACACACACACACACACTTTTCCCTTTAATAAGGCCTTAAGTGTATATGGCACAAATGTTCAGTTTGGCAGCTCTCAAAACATAAACCTGCATTTTATGGATTTCAGATGAGGTTTCTGAATCCCTGAATTCATTAACCATTAATTTTCTACCCACTGTGTGTAAAGTACTTGGTTGGGCTCTGGTTGACATGAGGATAGCAATCTAGGTAAGGGAATAACATGGGCATAAGCATGATTCCAGAAATATGCTGTCTGCACAGGTGTCCTGGACTCAGTGGCAGACTTTATGTTCTAGCTGTAGTTTCAATATCTTTGAGTGATAGGACCTGGTCAAAATGGCCTTCCCCCTCTCGGCATCATTGTAAAACAGAATGATTGTTTCCGCTCCACTAGCCTTTGGAACTCTGGTGGCTGTGCCTATTTGATGGTCCTTTGTGAGCCTTGCAGAGCTGTCCTCCAGAGTGTTCTCGTGCTTGCTGAGGCTCCCTGTTTCTCTAGCTCACGATGTGATTGACTCCACGGCGGAAACCACCAGAAGATAATTGGCCAAGTCCCTCAAGCTGGCAGCAGGCTTTGGCAAGGGCAGTTCCTAATGGTTGCAGAACCTGTCAATGTGCTTGGTCAGCCAAGTTGTGGCCTGGGGTTGTGTTGGGTCTGAAGCAAAGCCTGCACATGACTCACTACCCCAAAAAGGCATCTGACTGACTGGGTGCTGTTCCTTTCTTGAATCATCTTGGATCTGAGAGAAAGGAAATTCTTCTTCTGTATTCTTGTCTCTTTGTGAAGATATTTTCCCCAATTCTTCTGCAGGTATCTTTTTTCCCTTCAAATAAAGAAGGACTTGGCTCTGGGAAAACTTCCATGCAGTGACAAGTGTACAGCATTAATGGTGTCTCACATCTTACAATGTAAGTACCTAATGTCGATGTCTCAGTCTATCAGCCAGGGAAAGAACCAAGCAAAGGACATGGGCAATCCTATCGTGCGTGCATGCCAGTGTGTTCAGCCTTAAAGGATCCAACACCTGGTTAAGATACACTGAAGCATCATGGATGCTTCATTGAAGTCACTGAGATTTGAATCCAATCTTGTGTCTACTACCTTCTCACCATGGTTAAGGCAAGTTCCCTTATTTCTCTGAGATTGAATGTCCTTGTTAACACAGTGACAAGAACATCCACTCATGGAGGTGGTTCTGAAGATTTAAAGTAAATGCTGATTTTCTTCTACCTCAGTCCATCTACCCTGCTGCCATTGTCCCTTGACTTACTGTCCAGGAGCTGCTTTGAATGATTCTTGCCATGGATTTTTCCAGGCAGGCCACAACTCCCTCTATTTGCCCTAGAATAGACCTCAGATCCATATTTTCTGCAGTACAGCTCCAGAGAATAAAGCATGGTGACGAGCAAGTAGAGACAGGCTAAAAGAAGAAGGGGCATATATCAGTGCTCCTTCTATCTTAGCAGCCAAGAATTTGGACTAGGCGGAATACTGAAGGTGGGCTCAAGGGAACAGTGGGGTTCTGCTTGGGAGGGAGTTACACAGGCCAGGCCAGGCTGTTCCTCCAGCTGGAGGGTAATGTCTAGGCAGCTGGAGATAGCATCTGCTCTTCTAAGGCCAGCTGGATTTTTTCTGTTTTGGAGAAGTCTCCCAAGAATACACTGTTCCCTGCGAATCCTGCGCGATCATAACTTCAGTTTTTGTTTATTTCCTAAATTCATTTTTGACCTTTGTTCCTTACCTTCCTACCAGTCCATAAATGGTGGGCTTCTGATTTCTTTGGGAACAGCAAAATGAAATGCTTAGATAGGGACATTGTCTAAATCAGTGTTATCAAGTGACTCCCAGCTGGGACAAGTAAAGAGAGCTCCAGGTTCTCAGAAAAATCAGTGGACAGTAAGAGCAGTGAGTCAAGGAAAACTGATGGCAGAGGTGACGTCTGTGCTGAGCCTTACTGGGACCCACAGGTATTGAATGTGATGATAAGCAGAGTAAAACATAGTGATAGGACAAGAAGCAGCTTATATAGAGGATGCTGAATGAGCCTGCATAGCTCAAACATATTTCCTATTTAGGAAACATAGTGGAAAATGAAACATCCTTTTGAAGAGTCTTGAATGCCAGAGTCACTAACCATGTGTTCATTGTTGTACTTGGCACTGAGGTGTGGGGAATGGGGTAGGGCAGATAGGGAGAACATCCTTCCCTATTCGTTACCTCTTCAGGTGGCAATCAAGAGAACGAGGTTCCCAGGTGAGCTCTTTTGGAGGAATCCAGTTTTATTCTTAAGAGTTCTGCCTTATGGAGTTGGGCATTCTTTAGTGATCAGGGATAACAGAGGACTTCAGCCTTTCCAGAAGATATGCTGTTTGTTAGTAAAAGCTCATTTTATGGAGGGAAAAGCTGAAGTTCTAGTGTGTTAGCTTTTTACAATCAATCCCAGTCAGACTCAGAGGACCTTAAGGTCATATGCAGAAGTACAACACAATGCTTGTTTATGTGTTTAATTACACATTCATCCAATATTTGTTGAGTGCTTGCTACAGTCCAGATATTTAAGAACTCCATGCTCTGGACCTCTCATTTACCTTTGTCTCTTTTATGTAAGTCTATTTAGACAGCCCCTCCCAAACACGATTTAAATCGTTCACTTGAATCTTCATTCTTACAAACTCCCATTACAACCATTATCTGTCATTCATTGAATGAAAAAAAATCAGGTAAGTACCACTTTGCTAGATCCTATTAAAGGCACTGGTAACACAGCAGTGAGCTAAGACACAACTCTGTCTTTATGGAGCTCACATACTGGCAGTGCTGGAGAGTCAAACAGTGACCAAAATAAGAAAAGAAACCATTTGATGAATGTTAGAAAGTGGTGAGCGCAATGGAGAAAAAAATGTTCATAGAAGAGAAGTGGAGGGTTCTAAGAGGTGAGAACTGGTTATTTATATTTTATATTTATTATTTTTTATTTTATGTGTATGAGTATATTGCCTAGATGTATGTAAATATACCCTTGTAGTGCAAGGACTACAGAGGTCAGAAGAGGGCATTGGATCCCCTGGAACTGGAGTTAGGGCAGTTGATAGACACCATGTGGGTGCTGGGAATCCAAATTGGGTCTTCTGTAAGAGCAGCCAGTGTTCTTAACTGCTTAGCTATATCTCCAGCCCCCGGAACTGGGAACTGGGTATTTAAATAAAGTGGTGAAGATAAGCCTACTGTCAAGGTGATGGTAGAGCAAAGATTTGAAGGAGGGAAGAAACCAAGCCATGGAGCAAAGTCTGGTGACAGATGTCCACACAGAGGGAATACACAGTACAAAAGGCCAGAGGAGAGAACGTGCCTGGGGTGTTTGAGAAACATCAAACAGTCTTTATGGTTGGCTGCAGCTGAATGAGACCGAAGATAGGAATTAAAAGCACATTAAAGACTTAGAGCATGACTGTAAATGAGATGGGAAGCTGTAGAAATAGAGAGTTGACATCATCTGAATAATGTTTAAAGAAGACCCTGGACCCTGGTGATTGCTGTGGTGAAAACAGACCTTAGAAGGGAATGGTGGAAAAAGGCAGATGCATAAGAGGAAATTTTAGGAGAGATGATGGAAATTGAACCAGAATGGTAATCATACTCTCTTCCTTTGTTCAAATCTAGGTAGACACTGATTTACTTTCTGTTTCTATACATTTGTTTGTCTTTTGGGACATTTCATATAAGTGGGAAAATAATAATTGTGATCTTTGCATCTGGCTTTTTCACTCAACATTTTTTTTTGAAATCCATGCATGTTCTAGTTTATTCAGTTCTGATCCTGAAGACTATTCCATTTTATGAATTTACCACATTTTGTCTGTCTAGTCACTTGGTCATGGATAGAATAACAATATAAACATTGGCATACATATTTTTGCCTGGTTATATGTTTTCTTTGTCCTGGGTACAATCCTAGGAATGTGATTGCTAGTTCAAGTGATACCTCTCTGTTGAATATTTTTATAATTATAATTAGTCATGAAAATTAATCATGCAAATTAATGGGTTTCACTGACATTCCCATACATACATATGTAATGGTTTGATCATGTGTACACTGCCTTTTATCCTCTCTTGTCCTTCACTCCCCCTCACCTTCCCTAATAGTCTGTCTTCTACTTACAGGTCATCTTCTATTGTTCTTGTCATTTTCAGGCTAGATAATTTTTTAAAATATTTATTTTTACTATTTATTTATTTATTTATTATTTATTTATTTATTTATTGTCTTTTTGAGACAGGGTCTCCCTGTAGTCCCAGCTGACCTGAACTCACTATGTAGACCAGGCTGGCCTTGTACTCAACAAAATCTGCCTGCCTCTGCCTCCCAAGTGCTGGGATTAAAGGCGTGTGCCACCACACCTGGCTATTATTTTCACTATTTTTAAATTATGTGTATATGTGTCTCTGTGTGTGAGTATGTGCACATTGAGTGCAGGTGCCCCTCTATGGCCAGAGACATCAGATCCCCTAGAGCTAAAGTTAAAGGTGGTTGTGAGCCACCCAGCATAGGTTCTGGATGTCCAACTTGGGTCATCTACAAGAGCAACAAGTGCTCATAACTGCTAAGCTATCTGTCCAATCCCAATCTTTTTTTTTTAGACAAGGTCTTACAAGTTCTGGGATTACAGGCATACACCACAATGCCCTGCTCTAGAGTAGATAATCTTTTTAATATTTATTTAGCTTATTTTTATTTTTGTTTATTGAATTTCTATGATTTTCAAACAATAGGGTTTGATGGTATTTAGTTCTCATTCGCAGACTGTATAGTCTTTTTATGTTGAAAATTTTAAGAAGCTACCAAACTATTTTCCAAATTTGTATAGGGATACTAGAAATGCTTGAAGTTTCTAATTTTCATGATCTTCACTAAGACTCAGCATTGTCTCCCTTTTTGATTAGAGTCATTCTAGTAGGTATAAGAAGGTATCTCATTACAATTATAACTAGTACTTTTTATTATAATAAATTTTCCTTATTCTTGAGAATTACATACATGTATACAAAGAAACGAAACATAGTTATATCCAGCCCTTATTTCCTTATTTCTTTCCTCTAATCTTCCCTGTATCCCCGTCAACATGCTCCCCATACACATCTTCTTTATTAATAATCTAATAAGTTCACTTAATAATGCCCATGTGTGCATGGATATGGGACCATTCACTAGAGCACGAGAAACCTACCAGTAGCCACATACTCAAAGAAGAATAATTCTTCCTCCCCAAGCAGCTGTCAACAGCTAACATCCCTCCCCCATCTACAACAGAATTTTGATTGGCTTGATCTTGTGCAGGTCTTGTGCAGATAATCACAACTGCTCTGGGTCCAGGAGAGTGATACCATGTTGTTCCCAGAAGATAGCACTTTGCAACACGCCTCCCCATCTTCTGGGCTCTTACATTCTTTCCACGTCCTTACCTCCTTCTCTAGGATGTTTCCTGAACTTTGGAGAGTGAGGTGAGAGGATGGTTGATAAAGATGACCCATTTAGGGCTGAGCACTCAGTCTCTTATTTTCAGCACTTTGACCAATTAGTCATCTCTGCATTGACAGCTGTCCAGTTCAAAAAGAAGCTTTTCTGTCAAAGGTTGAGAGCAGCCCAGTTAATGGATATGAATATAAATATAACATTTTTCTAATGATCAATGATTTAAATTTTTTTGTGCTGATTCCCAATTTTTCTTTGATAAATGTCCATTTAAACATTTTGCCCGTTTTAAAATGTATTATCTTTAAAATGTTTCATAAATTCTTATTTATGAGACATAAAGCTTTCAAAATTACCCTCCTTGTACCTTTTTTTAAAATTGAACTATGTGTCCCTTGCTGACCTGGATCCCACTATGTAGACCAGGCTGGCCTTAAACTCGCAGAGTTTCTGCTTATGTCTCTGGAGTGTGCCTTGTCTCTTCATTTATAAATGATGCCTCTTCATTTCTTAAATGATAATTGTTGAAGTACAACCATTAGTATTTTGATTTAGCTCCACTTTCTAAATATTTTGGTAGATTGTATTTTTGGTATATATCCAAGAATACTTTACTTAACCTATGGATGTAAAACATTCTTTTCCTTAGTTTTCTTTAAGAACTTTTCTGTTTTCTTCTTGTATATAGGTCGGTGCTAGGTTTTAAACTAAGTTTGGTATGCTTCTTTGGTGTGTAGTATAAAGTCCTGGAGAAACTGTGCACTGTACGGAAAGGACAGACAGAATGATTTGTCTACTGGGGATTCCAAAGTGATGGGGATTTGCTAGACTCCCAATGTGCGGAGCGATGACTTGACTATAATTTGCTTGCATCATAGTATTTTTGCTTGTGGATGTCCATTTGTCCTGAAACAATTCATTGGAAAGATTACTATTTCCTCATTGGACTATCTTGACAACTGTCAAAAAACAATCGTGAGAGTTTATTTCTGTACTTTCAACTATGCTCTATTTTTCCTCTATGGATTTCTTAGAATTCTTTGTATACAGGAACTTGTTTATAAGTAGGAAGCTTTATCTTTTCCTTCACAGTAAAAATTCTTTATATAACTTTTTCATGCCTGATTGCGTTTACTACAATCAGCACTACAATGTTAGGTGAAGTGGCAAAAGCACGTACCTGTAGCTTGTTCTGGGTTTTAAGGGAAAGTATTTATTCTCTCACCATGTAGTATAACTGTGATGTAAGCTGCAGATTTTTCATAGGTAACTTTCACAAGACTGAAGAAGTTCCCTTCAATTCCTTATTTATTGAGTGTTCTAAGAATCGCTTATGTATTTTAGTCAATAAGAAAGCATCATAAGATTCCATGGATTGTATGTTTACTCTTAAAGAACATGTACTGCTAACAGGGTGGATATACCCCTTCCTAGCCCATTTTATCTTAGATCGAAGTGTTAGAATAAAGTGTTCTAAACTTTGACTTTAAGGGAAATAAATAACCAGAAAGTAACTCATGTGAATCTAACACAGAAGAAGCATAACACATCCAAAGTAGGTAAAAAGTCAGGGGGGTCAGTATACAGATATTCTTAGGCTACCATACAGTGTGAGGGCATAGAAGGAGTTGGAGGGTGCTGGGAAGGGTAGAAATAATGCAAATACAATACTCATATTTGAAATTCTCAAAAAATTAATTCAAAGGAGTCAAAGACCATTTACACTAGGGGTAGATAATCCTAAGTACCTCAGTGGCCAGTGTAGGTATAATCTAATCTTGGGATAGATGTTTCTAACAACAATAAACTAGAGACATTGATAAAAGAGTAAATTAGTCTTATAGATAAGGTAGTAGATATTTGGTAAGGATAATTCATCTAATGGAGATTCTAAGTAGTTTGGGATTTACTAAATTCTCCAAGTAGAGAATGAGGACTTGACTGCTGCTTGCACTGTGAGCTGGTATTTTTATTCTCCCTTTATGATAGTAGATAATCACAGTGAAAGGAAGTTTCAGGATGTGTTATATTTTACTAGGCTTGTCATAGAAATACAATGATTTCTCATCATTCTGGATGCCAGAAATTCTAAAGCAAGGTTTCAGAAGGTTTGGTTTATTTTGAAATGTCTTTCCTCAGCTTGTTGAAGGCTGTGTTCTTACTGTTCCTCACATCATCTTTTCTCTCCGTACTCACATACCTAGAATCCTTGTGTGTGATTTTCTTCTTTTTAAATAGAAACTAATTAGACTGGACCACAGCTCCCTGCTTCTGTTCTCAATACCCACATAATTCCCAATAAAGTCACATACAGTGATACCGGGGGTCAGGATTTCAACATATGAATTTTGGGAGAATAAAATTCAGCCTGTAACAGGGGATGATTGGAAATAAGAGAGATCATGAAATGAATGTAGAAGGAAAACCTAAGAAAATATTCAAGTGTGATTTGGGAGCCTTTCGGCTATATACCAAGTCTACAACCTACTACACAGACAGAGACTTCACAGGTAACACACTGCTTCTTAATGGAAAAAGGAGTCAGTTGGTTTTCCCCTGCATAAATACAATTATACACAGAGCATGGGATGGGAGGCATGAGGCTATACTGGCTGTAGAGAAAAGAACATTAGGCAGAGATCAAAAGTTTTTTTTTCTTCAGGAATTCCATTGTTTAATTGTCAATGGAAATGTAGAAAGTGTCACTTTTCTCTTGTACAGCAGAACTTGGAGACTTTCATGAAGAAACAGTTAGGAAACATCTGGTACAAACCCGGTACTTACCAAGTCAAGACTGTTTAGAGAGCAAGATCATGCACTTTCATCAGCAGCACATGTAAGTACTTTCCCTGGCACCTGCTCCCCCAATGGAGGACACTAAAAGTAAGGCAGACTCTTAAAAGCAAGCCTGTAGGTTTGTGACACTTCGGTCTCAAGAAAATACTAAGCTCCTTGCGGAGCGCTCAGGAATGTGAATGTGATTCTTGTTGCATTCATTTGGCTTATTAATCCTTTCCTGTTGTAGTGGCCGGAGCCCAGCTGAATCAGATATTTTGCTACTGGACATAGCAAGGAAGCTGGATATGTATGGCATCAGGCCTCAGCCTGCCAGTGATGGTGAAGGGATGCAGATCCACCTGGCTGTTGCTCACATGGGTGTACTGGTGTTACGGGTAACAGCTCTTATCCTGGGGGTGGACTTCAACTGATTGGGGTGGTTGTCTTCACTCCAACTTGAGTAGCTTTTCCCCAAAGGATTACAGTGTTTGGTTTTACAACCAACGAGAAGGGAAGTAATGCTTGGAAATGTTGTGCGTATGCCCTCTCCCCACAAAGGGTCTTGCCTCCATGTGCCATAAGTAATATACTATCTAGATTTCTAGAACATCACGCTTGAGAATAGGCTAGCATGGTTAAGAAATAAAGTGAAGAAGCTCTTTGGAATTTTTAGATGAGTAGATCTGTTCAGCCCCAAACCTTAGAGATCCAAACCCTGATGTGCCTTTACTCATTGCTGTTTTCATTGGAGGTAACCAGTGTCAGCTGGTAAGGAATTAAAGCCCAACCACGCCAGTAACTATTGCTATTTACTGGATCACCCTTTTCTGGGGATTTTGTATTTCATGTTAGAAATCCACTTAAAGTGCCATGGTCTTCCACTATCATTAATCTTCACCCTAGAGAACTTTCCCAGCAGTTATGTTTAAACAGTTTTCCAGTCCATTATATATCTTCATTTTTCTGAACACTTAATGGTTTTAGGTTCAAGTACGCACCTAACTTTCAGTATGATAAAAAGCATAATAGACTGATGCTTAGGTCAGTTTGTGAATAAATCAACATGAGAGAGAAGGGAATGTCCAAAGACACATATACACCCAAGACCATATTAAAGGACTGAAGTCATGAAGAAGGTCATACTGATAGGAAAATAACCCCATGGATTATAGGCATACCAGGAGGGCCCTCTTATTCATTTCCCTATAACCCCTGATGCTTGCCATTTCCTATTGTCTGGAAAAAATAGAGACAGAAACAGAGCTATCACATTAGACAGGATTTATTTCAGGTACTTCTGTGGACAGTGGGAACAAGATAGCTGATCTTATTCAGAATATATTTTCCTACCTCAGATTCAGCCAAAAAAACTAATGTACTGGATACCTTCCTTGTGTTCTTTATTGATCCGTTTCTTTTAAAAGAAGCAAGTTTCTTGAGATATGCTTTGTATACCATAAAATTCCTATGTCTTAAACTGTAGAAGTCATTGCATTTTAGTATATTTATTCATTAGGTCAGCTATAGTTATCCCTTTTTTTCTAGGTAGATGATAGACTAGATAGATAGATAGATAGATAGATAGATAGATAGATAGATAGATAGATGATAGATAGATAGATAGATGATAGATAGATAGATAGATAGATAGATAGATAGATAGATAGATAGATAGATAGATGATAGAATGTACTGTGGATCCATACTTTAACAGGCACTAGGACTACACCAGTGAATAAGAATAATACTAAGTCAATGGAACTTGAATTCTAATAGGGAGAAGACAGTTAAATAATTAAATACAAACAAAAGTGCTATTCTTTGCGCTAGGAGTAAGGGCTGCTAAGGTAATGCAGGTGAGAAGGACTTAACATTTAAGGTAAAATGAAAAGATGTTATCCAGGCCAGGAGGATAGGGCTGGGTGGAGAAGAAAGGTCCTCCAAAGAAAAGACAAACAGATAAAGGTCCTGAAGAGAATAAATATGGTGCAATCAAGAAATGAATATTAAGCAACAGAGAGACCTGGATCTTCCATTAAGATGCTTGAAATTGGGGCGGGAGAGATGGCTCAGCGATTAAGAGCACTGGTGGCTCTTGCAGAGGACCTGGGTTCAATTTCCAGCACCCACATGGCGGCTGACAACTGTCCATAACACTAGTTCCAGGGGATCCAATGCCTTTTTCTGACCTCCGTGGGTATTGCACGACATGAGTGCACCTATCTACATGCAGGCGTTACATTCATACTCATAAGAGAAAAATTTTAAAAGATGCTTGCGATTTGTTTGGAGAAGAAAGAGTGATAATGCTCAACACCAAACCCGTAAGCAATCATCAACTAGTCTATTATATATTACTTGAAATTGAATGGGAAGTACACATAAGAAAATAACAAATGAAGTTAACTTTAGGGAATTGCTAGAGGAAGTCAAAAGTAAGGTTGATAACAATGGAATAATGGAGAGTGGGTCTAGGAAAATTCCACACTGGAGCGGAGGATAGGCCACCCCTCCTGATTCCAGAGTAGATGGTTCATTCTCTGGAAAGACTACCCACATATGCATGTATCCCGACTTTTGCTACATCTTTTCTATAAATTGGAACATTACATGAGCAAATCAGAGGCACAGTAATAATTTCTCTCAAGCCAGGTCTGGCCAAAACTGTAAATAAATTCACATCTTTCCACCAATTTCTGCTTCCCTTTTCGTCAGCAGACTGGGCATGCAGCATGAACCTTAGATTCTGCTAACACTGAGAGTGAGACTTCTCAGGACTATGCACCTTTTCTTGTCCCTTTGATTTTTGGAGCATGTGAATAAAATAACTGTTGAACAAACAACAAACAGAAAAGCTAAGCTGTTTAAGCAGACCAAGAAAACTGATGTTCAGGGGATCTAGAAATGTGTTGGGCTACAGTTAGAAAATCTTAGGGACTGTGCTCTCAGACCTGGTAAAGAGGTTTGACAATGTGCATAGCAATTTTGGGTGAGGGCAATAAGAAGACAGCAGGAAGAAAGATACAGATTTGGAGAGATACTTGGACTAAAGGAGCAGTGGGGAGAGATGGCTGTATATTCAGCTGAGAAGGGGCAATCAAATCCAGCCCAGATTTGATGATGACAGTGAGAAGCTATTGAAGGTGTTTGAGTCAATGGGGTGGCAGAAGAAACAGTATGCTTTTCCTTTTTAGCGTTTATATCTGGAGACATAAAGAGGGATGAGAATACAGCAACTATTGCAGCAATCCATTCCTATAATGATCTCATTATCCTGCCCTAAAGGTCTCCTGGGCACTCCTTGTGTCCATTCGAGAAGAATGTGTGTCTTACCTGCAACACTTCACTGTAGCTTCTACTTAGCTCCACAGGATCCATCTGTGCAAGAGATGTGCCCAAGATGATCTTGTGAAGTGTACTTTCTGTCAGGCTTCCACTGTGTTACAATATCATGCTGACATGCTCTGAAATTGGCTATGTGTTTCATTACAGGGAAATACAAAGATTAATACTTTCAACTGGGCTAAGATCCGCAAGTTGAGTTTTAAGAGGAAGCATTTTCTCATCAAACTTCATGCTAATATATTGGTAAGTAGGTTTAAAAATAAATTATCTTTTTTTCTGTTCACTGGAATTTCTTATTCTACAAGTAGTTTGCATATGGATGGTGAAGTTGGCTGGCCCTAGGGGTGATGAACCCCCTCTTTAGCCTCCACATAAACAGTACAGAGATTTAGTCTCACTTTTTTTCTGGAGGCAAAACACTTAGACATGTGATTTGCAGTTCAGGATGAATAGTATAATAGGGAAATAAGGCAGTTTAGCTGACAGGCAGGTCTCTGGGGAAACCATTTTCAAGAGCTTTGATGAGTCAAATGGGAGTAACTAGATCTAGGACTATGGAAGTAATCATTTGATGCTCGCCTCTTCATTTTACAAAGTGTCCTTACTCGCTTTCCTTAAGCAAAAACTATTGAATACCTACCACATGCTAAAGCCAAGCAAGATGTGAGAAGTGGCTGTTCATATAAGCAGAAGAAATAATTATTGGGCAACTTTGCACTCTATAGGATGAGGAAAAAGGTGCTTTTAGTGATCATGAAGGAAACCGATTTTGGCCCTACAGAAGATCCAGTGTGATTTATATTCTTTAGATCTTGGCATTATATAAAGATGTTCATTTGAACAGTTCAAGGGGACCAGACTTAGTGTGAAACTTGTTCAGAGACCCAGGGTCTGCATGTAAGAACTTGGAAAGGTAGCAAAGAAGGGGATGCAGCTTTGAGTCGGGAGAGATGGGAAGAAGTTGAACCTGTAAACCCACGTTCCCTTAGGACAAATTAAAATACGCTAAAAGAGAAATATAAAACACCGTATGACAATAGAGCACACAAAGAAGTCTTTCTCGCTGGGACACTGAAAAGACTTGCCTATATGTAGTCACCATACAAGATCTTCCATCTGTAAGGAAATCTCTCCTCCCTTCCTTTTCCTGTTGGTCAATTATAAGTTCTTGTCATCTTGAAAAGATGTCCTTTGATGTTCATTTTAACCTAATTTACAACTTCACACAATGTTTCTGGAAGAGAAGAAGCAGGGCAGAAAAGCATTTAAGGTGAGAGGGCTGTGCAAAGCAGAACTGACTTCTTAGAGAAGGTGTGGCATTATCTGTTCCCCAGAAGGTTGCCAATCATTTGCTTTCAGTAGGTGTGAAGTCTAACAGGGAGCCAAGTGGAAAATCAGAAGCCGCAAGAGCCGCTGGACAAGGAGTTTGGAAGGTATTGAGATTGGAAGGTCTTTGATATTCTTGAAGGATGTTTAAATGGATGGAAATTGGTTTATACAGGTGCTGTGCAAAGACACTTTGGAGTTCACCATGGCCAGCCGAGATGCCTGCAAGGCTTTCTGGAAAACTTGTGTAGAGTACCATGCTTTCTTCAGACTTTCCGAGGAGCCCAAATCAAAGCCCAAGACGCTACTCTGCAGCAAGGGTTCCAGTTTCCGCTACAGGTAATCACATGCATTTCACATGGGAAAACCGTGCACACTACTTCTTTTCAATAACTTGGGAAGCAATAGGAGGAGTTTGAATTTCAAAATCAACAAAGAATCCATTTAAATCACTTGGAAGTTTATAACTATCCTTCCCTGTTCATTCTTTTGTGTTGCATTAGGTCCGTATTCCCTAATTAGGAGGCAGGAGCGTATACCCTACCTAAAGGATTGGATTAGAATCATAGCAAGTGTGTAGAGGGAGCATAAAGAGTTTGAGAAAATGCATTCAACAAGCCCATTGTTTCCCTTCAAGACAGCTTATACGCAGCCATGGAAAGAATTCTCAACAACATCCTTTGGTGGTAGTTAGGCAAAAGTCAGAGTGAGAGAGCACTGGAGGGGACAAGGGATTAAGAAGATTGAGCAATGTTGCTCTCCAGGCTTCTCACTACAGGTCTCACCTTGGAGGAACAGAAGAGAGGTAGAAATAAGATCTTGCTTTTACTTGAACACACTAGCCTAGCAATTCATTGGAAGAAGGCTATAAAACTCTTAGCTAATAGTAATTCTAATCCAATGTTTCCACATAAGTGATTTTTCAGATCGTGGAAGCCCGCCTTGTAAAAATGGAGATATTAAAAGACCCACATATTTTTGATAGAATCTTCCCAAAGTGTACTCTACAAATCCCTCTCTTCTTAAACAGATGATATTGAGCATATTTGAGCATATTTTGCTTTTTTAAAAATGACCTGAGTGCTTATAAACATCCTTTCTTATCCTCTGCAGGCAGCTGTAGTGCAAGGATGGCCTCAGGGTTGGGGGAGGCATGTCAGGCCTTGCTCTTCTGTGATAAACGGCCCAGACTTTTTGGATTTCATTATTATTGTGATTTCTTTTCTAGCTCTTGTGTCTCTCGCAGAAGTCAGCTGGATTTCTTTGTTAGTGTAAGCCTAACTGTAGCAATCCTTGTCTGCTGTTTGGTTAGCTGCTTTCTGTCTGTCATGGATTGGGAATCAAAATAAAAAGTCTGATTGGAATTAACATGTAAAGTAAGAGTCAGTTGGCTTTTCACATTTTTCTAAAAATCTAGGCTCCTAGTTGTTGAGGCTGCCCTATTCCTGGTTCTTGGACATGTGGGTATTTACAGTAATGTGATCATCTGAGCTCCACAACATATGCTACTCATCCAGATGCTTTTGGTTTCAATAGTAAGTGATGTTCTGAAGTTTCAGTCGCCTATTAGCTTATGATGGAATGAATGATTCTTGTTTCTTTTTTATGATAGTGGAAGAACTCAAAGGCAACTATTGGAATATGGCAAAAAAGGGAGGTTAAAGAGCCTGCCATTTGAAAGGTACACCCTTTTCTTTCTTCTCATGCTGATTGAAATTGTTTTCAGTGATTTATATATATTCTACAGTTCCCATGGTGGTGATTTTCAATGGCATCTGTTTGGGAATTTCAGGAAACATTACCCATCTCAGTATCATGAACGACAGTGCAGGTCGTCTCCAGACATTCTCTCTGATGTGTCAAAACAAGTAAGGTTTCTGAAAATTCCTACTTCTTTAGATAAGTATAAGTCATCTCGATAAGTCATCTCATTTTCAAATGCTTCCAAGAATTGATTCTGCCAGAACCTCCCAGTGTGTACCAAAGCCATGCCATTTGAGGATAGCCTCTTTGGGAGGTCTGCGGACTCAATGTTTCCTGCCAACAGGCCACTTAATAAACTACAACTGGTGTATACCATGCCGAATGGAAGCATCTGTCATACCTTCACATTACAATCTGTATTGTTAACATCCTGCAAAAAGAAGATACAATTAAATGTCTATGGCTTTATAATTTTAAAACTAAAGCTCTGTGATTTCACCAAGGAAATCATAAAGTTTAGAGAAAGAAATATGTTCTGGTGTTGAGATTCAAAAGTATTTTTGCTGGAGCTGGAGAGATGGCTCAGCGGTTAAGAACAGTGAATGTTCTTGTAGAAGAGAATCCCAGCACCCACATGGCAGCTAACAACTGTCCGTAACTCCATTCCCAAGGGATCTGACAGCCTCTTCTGTCTGCCATGGGCATTGCACGACACAGGTGCACTTACCTACATGCAGGCAATACACACACACACACACACACACACACACACACACTTTAATGCATAATTTCAGGATAAAGTGTTATTCTCTCAGAACTGTAAAATGATGAATTCATTTGAGATCTATGTTATGAAACTTGCTGATTAGTTTTCTTTGGCACTCTCTACAAAAGTTATTTTATATATTATAGGTGTTATTAAACTCTCATGCCTTTACTCAAGACACAGATGGTTTTTATTTAAAAGGTACCAGAGGTATAATGATGAACTATTACTAATATTACTAATGTACTATCTAGTATATGAACCTTTAAGGCCATTCACAGTCCTCCTCCCCATCATTTTACAGAAAATAGGGAGGAGACGGGAGCCCAAGGTTAATACAGCTTGTCAAAGGCAGACTGTGCAGAATTCTTGGTTCATTGATACAGTTACCAAACTAAACTGTTTGAAATACAGTGCTACCTGAAGGATACATAAATGTGGAGGCTTGAAATGGGATGTCACCAAGAAGAGTGCCACATGTACTTTTTGTCACATAACTTGGGATATCGTATAAATAACTAAACTTTCCAAACATGTATACATCAACCAGGAATTGAATATGGAATGTCTTTGTGAAATCTGCCTTTTATAATTGGAGACTACCTTTAAGACCCTCCCTAATTCTAGCTAAATGTTTTTTTCCTCATCTTTCATCAATGTGTCCTTTTTATCAAGGTGGAAGATCTGAGACTTACATGCACTGGGTACTACCGAAATGTAAATGGAGTGCACGCATCTGAGCCTATGCTAGACAGTAGGAGGAGGAACTCTGCGGTGGAGGTGACATTTGCAGCCGAGCTGGAGCGCTCCAAACCAGAGGCAGATCCCACATTGCTACATCCATCCCAAAGTAGTTCTTCTTTCCCTTTTATTTATACAGACCCTGTCTTTAACACGGACCCTGATCCCAGAGACTTCTTTGAGGAACGAAGTCCCCTAAGTTCTTTCCAAACAAGCTCTAAGTTTGTTGACAATCACATAAGCACATCTAGTTTCAGAAGCAAAGTGAGTCCTGCAAGACGGCTAGCATACACTGATGTGCCCTATATTCCTTGTATTAGTCAGCAGGTTGATATTATGCCTCCCCAAGTCTTCTTTTATGTGGACAAGCCACCCCAGGTGCCCAGACGGTCTCCAATCATGTCAGAGGAAAGGGCAAGACCAGACAGCTATATAGAGCCCAGTCCAATAAAGCCAGCCAAAAGAAGCCCAAGGAGTATCAGGATAAAGAGCTTACAGCAAGACCTTCAAGATCTCCAAGAAGCTATGGCCAGAACTAGTGGTAGGAGCAATATCAGTGTAGATCTCGATGAGGAAGACCCACAATTAGATGATATGTTTGCATGTAACATTCAAGATCAAACCCCTAAATGGTCCCAGAGCCAATCAGACATGAAAACTATCCGTTTTCCCTTTGGGTCAGAATTTAGACCATTAGGGCCCTGTCCTGCTCTGAGTCGTAAAGTGGACCCGTTTGTGTGTATGTTTGCAGAGCAGGAGTTCTCAGCAGTTCTAATGGATCAGAGCACAGCAGAAAGGTATGTAGCAAGTGAGTCCAGCGATTCAGAATCAGAAATTCTTAAACCAGACTACTATTCATTGTACAGCAAAGGAATAAAGTCACCCATGGCCAGAATCCGCTTGTCTTCTGGTAGTCTGCAGTTAGATGAAGAAGATGAAGATGTTTCTTTCACCACACCAGTCACTGAAGATAGGACTTTGTTAAAACCATGCAATTATTTCTTAGCTTAAGAGTGAACTCTGTGAATGTTCCCAGGTCAGTTCCATGTTACCATCTTAGGTAAGAAATGAGGAATGTTTAATAAACCTTTTCTTAGTCATTTTAAATTGGCAGTAAGGGAATGTTCTCATTCTGGACACCTATAGCGTAGGAAAGATCAAGCTGCTGCTACATTCTCTGCACTTCACTCTTCTATTCCCTCTGAACAGACTCTGGACCATGCCTCTGACCAGCACTATTGCAGTGGGAGGGAAGTATCTGTCATCATCATAATACATTCCTCATCCAGACATTGTAAATGAAGGCCCATATTTTGAGACTGAAGAACAGTGACACTGTGGGCTCGCATACGAGACTGACTTCTAAATGTCATTTTGTCATCTAGTAGACTGTGACTATGTTGGTCATTTTGTCCTTAAATAATGCTAAACAAAGGTTTGGTTCCTCCTGACTTGTATGGGACCTAGTAAACAGTTTTGTTACATACTACGAATGCCAATTTTTATAACATATATGAAGGGAGAGCATGACCCTCCTACAGCCTCAGGAACAAATAAGTGGCACAAATCTCCCAAGCAGAATATGTTTAGAATCAAGGACCTGGCAGAATTCTCGATCCAGGAAGTTCATGGATTAGGCCCATTTCTCAATGTTTAACTTGTGACTTCTCTATTCTGAACAACTTTTTCTATGTAGTGAGATAAATGATAACAAGCCAGTTTGTTCACCAAATCTCTCCTGTCAGAATTTATTCTTTCATGTATTTGTCGCATGTATGTAGGCAATGAAATGAAATGTTATTTTAATAAAGAGTCATGGAAAATCCATTCAATGAAAAAGGAGTTATAAATGTATGGTCTTCCTTTTGTTTTGATTAATTTCAGCAATAGTTGGTTCTGGCCTGTATGTAAGGAACAGGACAGTTATAAAGCAGGGAAGAATAGGGGAGACAAGAGGGCATGAGTGGTTGGGGGAAGCAGAAATATAGGGTAGCTGAGAAGAAAAAAGAGTAACAATGACGCCACGCTGTAACAGTACACCAAAACTCTGGTAGTTTTTGTCCGTTTGGTTGTTCCTTTTTGTCTTTTGCAAGATGGGTTCCCAGTATGTAGCCCAGGCTTGTCACCAATTCATAAACCTCTTGCCTCAGCCTCCCAAGTACTGGGTTATAGTTATGTACAAACTCAAAATTCCATACTTGAACCATTCAAAATTTCTGTATCAATCCTTCTGGAATGTAGGGCATCGTATTTGAGAACTGTGCTTGCTGATAGGGTCAAGTCCAACATGCTTTCAAGATGTTAAATATAAATTTCAAAGAAGTAAAGTAATTACCTAAATAAACCATTTATATATAATTTAGTGTAGAGAAAAGGATAACAAGTTTCCTAACTCTTTTAGTTCTCACAGCAGAAAAAATTCCTTTAATATACATCCTTTCTGCTACATAATCACTAACTCTCAGGTATATATTAATTATTTAATATGCTGAATATACTGAAGCAGGGCTGCCTATATATTAATTCTACAGATCCTTATTAATTAAAAAAATTACCCACAAAACTCCCCCCAGGAAGAATTCAATTTCCTTTATGTTATATGCCACTTCTGATTTTTATTTCTGAAAAATTTTCCTAAATGTATGTTTTCCCTAAGAACTATAGGGTTTGAATCTGTATATCAGCTTTTCATAAAATAGTAATTAGAGAGACCATCTAATTTACTGTCTGGAGAGCTGTTTGAAAGGACTATTAATAATTCTGTCTGTTCTTAGTAACATGAAGAATATCTTTTAGTGTACAATGGAAACCTTGGTTATGATTCAATAATGAAAGGTAAAGGAGGAAAATTTTCAAACAATTAGAAAAACATATCAGACCCTCCCTCAAGAAAACAACCATCAAAGATCATAAAATTTAAATATTTATTTTTAAAAGTCCCCGAACACTGGAGTATGCTTCACCTAGAAACAGTTTACAAGACTAATAGCTATAACAAATAAGCAATACAACTTGTGTTTGTGATGCAGTTGTGTTGTAACATTTCATATAA